CCCCGCTGCTGGGCAGTCTCTTATTGGCAATGCTCCCTGCCACGCATGCATAGTTTCCTTGTTCACGTGGCATGGGAGGAAAGCCCAGTGCGCTGGAGTCAGCTGCCTGCACCACTCCCCGCAGGTCCAGGGGCGGGGAAAGTAGCCAGCTCCAGCACACAGGGCTTTTCTCCCATGATGCATGAGCGCAGGGGCTGCGTGTGCATGGCAGGGAGCACCACTGATAAGAGACTGCCCAGCAGAGGCTGCCCCCCTCGCCACAATGTGCAATGCTGGCCACAGCTGCGCGCTGTGGGCATGAGGGCCCTGAGCACCCCCGTCTGCTGCTGCGTCATGGGAGGAGTGCGGGGGGTCTCCACACCCCCATCCTCCCTCACACCTCACAAATGCCACACATCCACAACCTTCCCCCACAGCTCCCAACTCACCCTATGCCCCTTATACAGTCACACATGCCCCCTCCCACAATATACAAGACTAAGAATTTATTTTTAAGTTATTATGCAATCATCTCTATATACATTATGCAAACACAAATTATGGTAAAAATACTTTCTGTAATAAAATTAAAATATTTTATAGTGTTATCTTAGGAGTGTTTGACTTCTAGTACATTATTTGATATTTTTTTCTGGTTCTAAGATGGCAACACCCCTCTCCCAAAAGGAGTATTTCCAGGGGGGCAGGAGGAGGGAATTCCAGTGGCTCAGGTCTGGGGTTGGGGGAGGGACTTCTGGTCCCAAGATGGTGACCAGGGGGTGGGGCAACTGTCAGGGGGCGGGGCTACCCATGCAGCCCTCGAAAGCTCATCAAACCTCATTAAACAACCCTCCACCTGAAATAATTGCCCACCCTTGCTGTAGAGCATTTTAAGGTATTGCTCCAGTTCAGCTTAGCTACCATAGCACTGCTCCCAGTGCAGCTATGCCAGTACAGAGCTCAGCATAAGCTGACAGTTTATTAACCTCACTTCTCTAGCAGGTTTTGCAGCCTGGGTTGAGCTCTGTGCTGCCACAGCTACACTGGGAGCTGTATATGTGCTAGATGAATTCATGACAGCTCTGTGTCTCTATGCACTGCATTTACACCTTGACTATCATCTAGAAATATCCTAAACCATCATAGAGTGTGTGTTATGTGGAGAACTTGCACATGCGGCTCTGAGGCACTCCGGTGGTTTGGCATTAACATGTTTTCCGAGACTTGTTGGGTGAGACAGGGATGGGGAGAGGCGCGTGTTGTTGGCTGACTACAGAATAGAGATTTGTGTATGTACTAATATGACAGTTCAGCTAGAACAAAACCAGCTTGGAACAGTATCGTTAAGATATGCAAGCATTATATGCAGCAGAGATTTTTCCCTGTCCCACTTCTAGCTGTGCAGTCTTTGTAAGCACGTTCAAAGGGTATTCATCTACTAGCAATGGACTATTAAACATTTTGAAATGCCTGACTCATTTTCGTGATTTAAAACTGTATGATTTAAAACAAGACCTTTTGCTCAAAGGAAAATACCTCACAGTTGTTACAACAGTGTGATCATTAGCAACATGTAAATCTTCTTCTCTATTCACCTTTGAATCAGATTCCTTTAATAGTTGGAACAATGTAACATAGACTTTCCCACTCCTTCCCTGCAGCCATTGACCCATGTCCAAAACAGGGGAGGGACCTATTTTCTACGTCTCCACTTGCATTGAGTCGCAGCTCTGTCTGTTTCATTAAGGGAACTTCTGCTTTTCTTTCTGGTCCAGTATCAGTCAAAAACTTGGAGGCAGCACAATTATTATTGCAGCTGAACAGAACAGTGTAGACTGAAAGAAAAGGTCCCTTTATTAATAAAGTTAAACCTGATGCTCTTGAGATTTTTCCCGTGAACTTAATGCTTGTAGCTTCTTCCACTGGAAAGTGCAGTGAGGAGCCAAATTGCACTTCTCCTTATTTCTATGCAAGCATTGTAATTTACTTTATGAATCTGCTCTACGACGAAAGTGGATTGTGTAAAGTTGTGTTTGGTCTTAGATGCTTTCTACCTTGCAGAACTGCTTACATGAAACAGGGTGGCATTATGTGGCATCTGGATTATTGCATAGTATAGGGATCTCAAAAACATGTGTATTCCTAATGGGATGCAGACTATGGAACTTCATGGCCATATGAACAAGGATAAGGTAGGCATTACTGTTATCCTCTCAGCTGTAAGATGGGATAGACGCTATGCATTTGTAAAATGAAAAATGCATGTTCTTGACACTATTTCATAATGCCACATGCAGTGTTTTGGTCAGCTACCTAGCACTTTCTGCTGTGGGGTTGACCTTAAAACAGGTAAAGAGGTACTAAATATAAATTGTTTTGAAGCTGATAGACCTCAAATCGCAATAGCAGTATTATCCACTATGATTGAATATAGAAAGTTGTTTTCTTGGACCCATAAAGAGGCAAACTTTATACAAAGTATTGAAAAGGCTTTTCTGAAACTTGCTTCAGAAAATTCCTATAACAGTATAACTTTAATAAGTTCTCTCTCTCTCTCGCTCGCACGCACGCACACACACACGTATTAGGTTTTAATATACAAGGCACTGTAAAGTAGAAAACTTTTATTTTTGGCTACAGAGTACCTGCTTTACTTGCTTTTTATCTTAGTACTTTTTAAACTACTTTAGTATCATAACCTTTTGGTTCTTGATTTAATTTTGGACACTAATGGAACACTTAATTTCTCATGAACTTCTGTATCATTAAAAATATTAACTTGCAGTTTTCTACACTAGCTTTGTCTTATAAATTGTAGGAAAGCTGGTTCTCAAGAATGTAATCTTGTACATTAATGCTGTTGTCAAGTAGTGTCCCTTTCTCTCTCCTTCATTGGAAAGGTAGTGAGTGGAGTCATGTAGCCATTTAAGTTTGGTTGGCATGTTGAAGCTTTCAGAGTAAGGACTGAAGTGAAGACAATACCAGCAGGCAGTGCTAGCATTAGCAGAGGATCATTTTGTGGGCTAAGACCAAACTTCTGTGATCATGCTTTAGCTCTAGTGTTACTACAGCAGAATGTTACAGTATTAACTTTTTTTGCAACATTTGTTTGTTTCAGGCAATGGAATATAAAGGCTGGGCAGATACACTCTTCCTTATACAGTTTACACTGTCGTGTGTAATGGGGTAAGTATTTATTCAACCATCCTGTTTGTTCTTCTTTCTCCAAAAAAGGTTTTCTCCTATTGTAGCCTTTCCAACAAATACTAAGGAAGCCTCTCTACTTTTTGGAAGGCCTGTTCACTAAATAGCATGCACACACGTACTATGAATGTCTGTTGTACCCTCAGAGATAGTTAGCTGTGTTGGCCTGAAGTTAGGCAGAAAGCAGTGTAGATTTGCATCTTGTAGACCAGTGGTTCTCAAACTTTTTGGACTCGAGGCACCCTTCCATAACTTGTGAACTAAGTGGCACCCAATTTCAAAAAAGTGTTTATATATTACAGTGCTTATTTCCTTGGTAGTGGGCGTGGGGATTGTTCAGACAGGGACAAGCCTGAGCCTACAAGTATCTGCTTGTCTCTTTGCACCTCATGCACCCTTTGAAGTGTCTGGCAGCACTCCAGGGTGCTCTGGCAACCTGGTTGAGAATCACTGTTATAGACTAACTAGATCAGAGATGTATTCCCTCAACCAATATATCTGAAGTTTTACTGGTTATAAAGTGTCAACTTAAGTCCAACTTCAGTGCTGGTAAAAACAGGTAATTACTAATTAGTAATTACTTTTTGGGGGAGCTCATTGCTAAAATTCTATCATATACTGCCTGAATGCACCATAACTTGCTAAACTACACTAAGCTGGGAATTTCTGTGCTGCTCTGTAAGCATGGTCTTTCCTAGCATGTTGCCACCGTATGCCACATTAGCCACTTTGGTTTCAGATGCTACTGCTGGTTCTGATTTTTGGTGAGACTCCAAATCCATGATGGTGTATTGATTTTTCCTGATATTTAGTGATTTTTATAAGCAACATGGCATATTTTGACATTTCCTTTTACACAAACTGGCATGGTCCAACTGATTCTCTTAGCTTTGTTCACTTTTAAATTTGACTCCACCAAAAAAGGTAACCCTGCTATTGTCTTGTTTTACATGCCTTAAAGGGTTAAACAGATGACATTCTATTGCTGCAACTTCTTGGTTTCAATAAGTACTGTGTGCATGCGTGTACATGTAAACTATACACTTGCAGGCACACACTGTTATAAATAAAACTAAATTACTCTTAAAACTAAAACCTGGAGCTTGCTGCAGTATATGTGAATTTTCTGGTATATTTTTGCTAACTTGAACGGATCAGAAATGGCCTGCCCTGTTACTGTATGGGTCCTCCGGTATACCAAGTAAGGGTGTACAAAAGCTATTTGCCATGTGTTGTGGCAGATCATGTTGCAACCACGTGAGTAATGTAAGTTAAAGCTGATTGGAAATTTTCCAAAGAATATTCTTTAATCAGAAAAATCTCAGTTTTGAAAGCAGTTTGTTTTGTGGAAATACATTGCTTTTGATGCATTAGAAGACTCAACAGAAGCAGATGGTAACATTTGCCTGCCAGGCACATTTCTTTCATAACTTTTTGTTCAAATTGGGTCTCTTGGGTAGGGTTGAAACTTTCTCAGTGGAACCAGGAGCCTGGCGATCCTTTGTTGAGCTGCTTTGTTCCAGGGTGGCCCTACCATATGGATTGCCCCTGGTTCAGAGACCTTTGGGATTCGGGTCCTTTCCTTCTTCAAGCAGCAAGAGTTGTACAGCGAGAGAAGCTGGCAGCCACGCAAGACTGGAAGCCCTGAGATCCCTGGTCTGTGCTCAGTCAGTGTGGTCTGGCTGCCATGCTGTTGGGGACCTCAGGCTAGCCACTGCTGTCTGGTCTGGCACAGCACCGAAGGTGACCGGGACTGTGTAACACTGTCAGCATCTATCAGGGATCTCAGGGCACATATTTTCTTTCCGAAACTTCTGTTTCACTATTTCTAAAAGTGATAGTTTCCATGTTTCAGTTAATGTTACCACTTTTTGGTGTATTTGCCCTAGTTGATATATAACATCTGAGAGATCAGAAATCATGGCAAATAGAAATTTGGTTTTGCAGCTAGCTCTAATGCAGGCCTCGCCAGACTAGCAATAGAAAAAGCATGTTGTCAAATTAACAGCAGGAGAGTAGACAATGGCATTTCAGTTCTGAATTTTTTTCCCTTCAGGTTTATTTTGATGTACTCCACTGTTCTTTGCACTCAGTATAATTCTGCTCTCACAACTACAATAGTTGGCTGTATTAAGGTAAGTTATACATATTTTTTTAATATGTGCATGGTTTTCCCTTCTATTACAATGATAACTGTACAAAGCTTAAAAAACACATCATAATTGGTATTTTTTTTCCAACCTTTTGTTGAGAAGAAAGGATTGTTTAAGTTATTGAACATGAAGTTGTGCGGGCCGGGAGCGACCTGAGCCCTTTTCCGTGCTGCACGCGGGCTGTGGCCAGCAGCCCGGGCACGCCGGGTTGGAGAGGGAAGGCCGTTGAGCTGGAATTAGGCACAAACGCGTATCGGTAGTTTTAAAGATTGTTTACTTACACCGAGATGGCAGTGGTGTAGGCTGGAAAACTTGCTTGAGTTGCAGTTACAGACACAGACAACACAGACGGTCTCATGGAGGTTGCTAGGCTCCATGGTGCAGAGCTCCGGATGCTCTGGGTGAACGCGCCACCAAAATAGAAATCGTAGATACGTCTTATAAAAGTCGCGCTCGAAGACGGGAAGAGGTGGGCGGTGGATCACGCCAAGCTCCTCTGGATCTCGCACAGGGTTTCTATTACCCTGCCGTGTACCCGGAGTCCCCACGAGATGGATGTGGAGTCCTCTTCGGCTTGGGCGGAAACTGCTCAAGCCTCTTATACGGCTAACAGGCCAATCGCTAGACGCCACGTGTGAATAATTTAACACTAGCCAATCACGGGGAACGAATTTGCATACCGGTGGCGGAAACTCTTTTGCACCGTGCATTCCTCTCGCAACATGAGCAATGCACCCTGCAAAAGAAGCTGCAGAAAAGGCGGGAAACTCGTCCCTGCACCGGGGTTTTCCTCTGCAACAGGAAACATTCCCGTGCAATGCTCTGCAACTTGGCGGGGATAATTCTGGTGCCGAAGCACACACAAAATCATGCCTTTGCGTCATGACAGAAGTAATTTTAACACCAGACTAACAAAAATTTAAAGTATAGGGAAACAGAGAAGACCAGGCCAAATTTAGAGATTCTCTCCCAGGAATCCTGTCATTCAGGGGTATGACACCCCTGTTGACAACATTTCAGCCATGTGGGCTCCCCAGTGCATGAGTAGGAACTACAATTAATTGTGAATTTTGCTAGTTTTAAATACTGAATAAAATGTTTGGCTGTTTTTTTTCTTTTATTAATACAAGTGTTCTCAGCCACTTTTCTCTAAATCAGTTGATAAGTCTGCAACACACTTTATACTTTTTAAGTATTGTTTTGCTATGGAGCAGACTGTTCTCTCCACCAGTAGAATCCTGTATACAGGATAACTTAAACCAGTTTTTATTTGGGCAAATTAATTGCTTTTGATGCATTGGAAGATTCAACAGAGAAAGCCTTGGAAACTGGCACCTGAGGAAGGATGTCCTGCATTCAAAAGCTTGTCTAACCATCCCAACTATACAGTTGGTCCAATAAAAGATATCACCCTAGAAATCCTGGCCTCTTGCAAGATTATTTTTTAAATCCTGTCACTGATGATCTTGACATTTAATGTAGTTACAGTTTTGCACCAGTTAAAGGCTAGAAGACTGCCACATTTTAATTCTGTCTAGTGACATTTTTTTTTGACATCCTAGCTGTCTTTTTTGCTTCTGCGTTTTATTTACAATGTTGACTTAAAGGCATACGGTAAACTGAGGTATTGCCAGTTTTCAAGGTTGTATTTTTCTATGTTCTTGCTAAAGGTAGAAGGCATGCTTCTTCCAGTGGTGTCACTAATTTCAAATATCAATTTCTGACACTACTGGTTTATCTCCTTCAGGTTTTGGTAGCATTTTAATCTAATAAATATGCAGTTTGCTAATGAAAATCTAGCAGAATTGCAAATTCATATTCAGTTTTTTAGCTACTGCTTTTTTTGTTATGGCAGGAGAAGTTTGACTCATTTCTTTTATTCAGTTTATTGCCTGAAAAACTCTTTAATGCTCTCAGGCAGACAAGATTCCTTGGGTGAATCTGATATCTTTTATTAGACCAACCCAAATAGTTGGAAAATAATTATTAAGCAAGCTTTCGGGTTCAAAAACCCTTCATCAGGCTAAGGAAGTTTCAGCAGTTGGTGTGCGCTCTTCCTGGATGGAATGAAAAGTAAAGAAGCCAGCGGCTGGGCTGGTGTGCATACAAGACAGGTAGTCAGTGAAAATGTAGATTAGGAGTCAATGGGTGAGAGACAGGTGGGGGGTGGGGGGGAAGCGAGAGAAGGGGGATGAAAGTGGAGAGATACCTGGGGAGTCAGAGGTCAGGCAGGTTATAATGTGTCAAAAATCCAATGTCTATATTTAGTCCATGATTTTTAGTATCCAGGAGGTTGATGAAGTGGAGTTCATAGGCTCGTCTCTGGGAAGTGTTTTGTAAGTTTCCTTTGAGGATCAGGACTGAGAGATTGGAGAGAGAGTGGTTTTTCTTGTGAGAAATGTGCCCTCACTGGCAATTGGGTATTTCTGTCTTTGACAGATTTCAGGTGTGCGTTCATTCTGGTGCGCAGTTGTTGTTTGGTCTCTCCTACATATTTTCCATCAGGGCATTTGGTGCATTGGATGAGATATATTATGTTTCTGGAGGTGCAGCTGTAAGATCCTCTTAGGTCCTGATCCTCAAAGGAAACTTACAAAACACTTCCCAGAGACGAGCCTATGAACTCCACTTCATCAACCTCCTGGATACTAGAGATCATGGACTAAATATAGACATTGGATTTATGACACATTATAACCTGCCTGACATCTGACTCTCCAGGTATCTCTCCACTTTCACCCCTCTTCTTCTCCCCCCCCCCCCCCCCCCCCCCCCCCCCCCCCCTCCACCCACCTT